GTATGATACTGAATTTTTTATTTTTTATTTTATTCAATTAGCGTCTGCCTGTTCGTAAGGATCGGTTCTTACAGACTGGATTCCATGTAACAAGTTCGCAAAATTATAAATGTCTGGCTGCTTCTTCTAATTGGAGGTATGGCTGTAAATGAGTTAAAGGCGAGCCAAGTAGGGTTTTGTTGGAGCTCAGCTTCACCTTATAGCCACAATGTTCTACCTTTCCAGACTAGCCACTCACAAGAGTGGTGTGTCCCACTAATATTGGTTGTGACACCCACCAGTCTTTAATGTTGTGTTTGGTTGGAAGGTATAATGGAGGACAGATGGAAGAGATGAAGGATAGAAGACTCTTCTCTCTCATTAGTTAGAAGTAAGGGAAGAGAGGGAGGATGCAAGGGAGATGAAGTATCCCTCCTACCATCTCATGATAAAAAAATAAAAATAAAAATAAAAAAATTGATTTTAATAATTTCTTTTCTATCGTCAAATCAACAATTTTGTTTTGAAGAAAAGCCTTTATTCACCATCTTCAGGACAAAAGCTGAACTTATGCTACATCAAACCCCTCCCTGTCCTGTTAGACGATCTCACCCGTGAGGTTACTGTGAGGGTTTCGAAATCTGTGCGAGGTCTGTCGGCAAACTCAGATTCCGATTATCGGTGGTCTATACTAACCTGTCTAACCACTTTCACAACTATCAGCGGCCCACCCCAGAGGCATTTTCATGGGAATCCTCATAGTTTCTTCTTTCAATGTTCTTCCATTAATTTTCTCTCTAAAAATTGCATCAATATTTTTTTTGATTAGGTAACTACTCACGTACAAAGATCCTCTCCAGCCATAGAGAGGTCCAACACATATTTCAATGGTTGGATTTACTGCTTCCATGGCTGGAGAGAATCTTTGTCCAACTACTCACACACATTTTACAGATTGTCCACTATGAGCTTGAACCCCTCACGTCCCCCTATGAAAAGGAAATGATATACCATTGGGTTAATGGCCCATTTGGGTGTCACATTTCTTTGTTCTTAATCGTTTATCCTAAAAGTCTATGTTCCTTAGCTCTCTTAGGTTCTGTTTGGTTGGAAAGAAATACAAGGTAAAGTGTTTATTCCATTATTTTGGAAAAATGGAAAGTTGACATGTGGCGAGTTCTAAGGGAACTTGTCACTTCAGATTAGTTCCAGCAACTGAAAAATGAATGTTACCATGTAAGCAGTTCCACATAGCATGCAGTATGGAACCACTCAGATCTGCCACGTGGCACTAAAGACCAGGTAAAGGTAAGGGAAATCTGGTGAGATGAGAGCCCACCATAAGAGCACATGTGGTCTATTACTACCATCTGACAAACATTAGGAAAGCCATGTGTACCTTTGACCTAGTCATCAAAAATGACAACGCCATGTGTACCTTTGACCTAGTCATCAAGAATGACCACTCCACCACTCTTATAATTTCTCTTAGTTTGTAGGAGTCACTCCAAGAATAAGGCAGTCACTTATCTTATTTAGGTGAGGAGGTTACTTAAAATCAGCAAATGGGCTGAAAATATGAAGCATTTACCAAAGAAAGTTGAGGAAAACATGAAACACGTGGCATGATCCAGACCTTCCAGGTTGAAGTTTTCAATTGCTGCCTTTCCATCTGGACAGTTCCAGAACGTGGGTAAATGTTTATAACAAGCATTCAACCAGCAAAACCACTCATTCAAGACTGTAATTCATGGGACATCATGTTCTTACACGTGTCAATATTATAAGAAGACTAAGGAAGACATGGAACACATGGCATGATCCGGACCTTCCAGGTGGAAGTTTTCAACTGCTGCTGGAACTACTACCTTTCCAGGGCAGTTTCAGAACGTAAGAAAATGCTTGCAAACATAAATTCGACTGCTAAAATCACTATTTATCAGTCGTAGATCACGCGAGAATATGATTTTACACATGTCAACATTGAGAGAAGGTTGGAAGATCATGGGACATTTGGCAGTCCGAAGATCAGCCAAGTAGAAGCTACTGAAACTGCCACATTTCCAACTATTGCAAGAAGACTCTATAAATAGAGCACTTGAGCCAAACTTGCAAATCCTGTTTAACACACACAACAATACAACATCTTTGTTTATCTATTTCATTTCATGTATCTTTACATTCAGTAATGTATTTACATAATGTCTAATTTAAGTCTAGCACTTTCATTTCTTACTTTCCAACAAATAGTCTATAGCTTTTTAAGTCCTGCACTTTCAATACTGTGTTTCTTTCCATTAGTTATAGAACAATCCTGAAGTCTTTTTTCAAGGGAAAAAGAACCTTTGAAGGTGGTCATTCCAGTCTTTCATACAATCGTCTAATCACTACAACTTCCAACTAGAATATTGTTTGGACCTCCACTTTGGAACGATAGCAGTTCTTGGCACGCGCGTAACCCACAATCTCTTTTCCACACTTGGAAAGGACCACAAAGCTAATTTTCAAGAGCCGGACATTTTGGCAAGTTCGATGGGACATCTAGACAGATTGTTCAATGGCTGGTGAAAGAAGGCAAGGCAAGTCTGTCCAAGACCCTGCCGAAATAGAAGAGATGCAAGCTAGTGTACTTCCAGTGGAAAGTTCACGAGTTACGCTCGAAGAAAGAAATATGGCTAAAAAGTTTGCTCAAGTTATGGTAAACGGCCCTATTATGGATAACATCCGCATGATGGCTATCTAACAAGATAGGTATGCTCAAGATCAAACAAGAGTTGCTCAAGATCAAGCCAAAGCCGTTCATTCTCAAGAGCGAAAGTTAGAAGATTTGGTGGACCGAATCTCTCATAGGCTCGAATCTATGTTAGAATGGTCTTTTAGAAGCTTAACTCAAACTTTGGCCCCTATGCCAAACAATTCTGAAGAGACCCAACAGTTAGCCTTTCAAGCCAGGCCGGCTACATTTGTTGAAGACAGTTCCTCTCAATAACATGCAGGTTCATTTTCTCCAAATTAGTAATAGATGCAGTCTACTCCAGTGGCACAAACTTACATTCTAGTTGCACCTATGGCTGCTCCAGTGGCGCAGATGACTATTTCACAATTAACGCCTATACTAGTCACTCAGTAAGTCCAGAACCCTCACCTATGGCATTTACGCAACAGACTTGGCATGATCAGTCTGCCAGCTATTTCCATACCACATTCCTCAAGGATAGCAGTGTAACAACCTAGATCCTCATGGATCTGGATCATTAAACGGGTCCTTACCGGACCCCAAACCATCCGAGGGTAATACGGTCTTTTCACGTTAAATTTAAACATTAACGTCTAAAAAGGGCAAGATGGTAATTTGCTACAATTCACATGGTTTGAGACCCAAAGGACATAAATGTCTTTTACTTGCATCACATAATAAATAAAATAAAGTCCCGGGCAACGTGGTCTTTTCGGTGGTTAAAATATAATTATTGCATTTTATTGGGTCATAAAATAAATACTTGTAACATAAATTGGGTGCCAAAATGTAATTTGGGAAACTAAATAGAACTCATATGTGGAACATGAACCGGTCGACGTATGCATATTATACGTCGACTGGTTTGGGTTATGAACAGTGGAAAACACACTACCGAGATACCGGTTGACGTATGAAATTTTTACATCAACTGGTTTGGGGTCAGGATACCGGTCGACGTATGGGAAGCCATACGTCGACTGGTTTGCATCGTGCGCAACAATGACCCACACTGTCAAGATACCGGTTGACGTATAGGAAGCTATACGTTGACCGGTTCTGGGTAATTCTCACTTCCACTTCCCACTGTCCAGTATGCACCCATATACACCAACATTTGATAATTAACCACCCACGCCACTGCACTCACGTACGAAATTAAACACATTACAACATCTAATACAGTAATACCAACCACGTTGTTAACGTAATTTGCCACACCTTACTTAAAATACACAAACTAATTTAGAGTGAGTAAAACTTAATTACAATTTCTCAATAGCCATATACAAAATGAACCTCAATACACCACACGTTGCAAAAATAATACATCTTGAGTTAGTACTTTACAAAAAATTAGTTCCATTTACAAAAGATAACAAAAGAGACATTTCTCTACTCCAAGCTAAGGCTGGGGTGGATTACCTTCAGCTACTTCTTGTCCATGTCCTGAAAAAATGATAATTATAATAGGGTGAGCGAATCGCTGAGTAGGTAGCACTTAAGACACATCTTTGTGTCCCCGTGAATCCAAAACAAAGCATAGAACAATGGGAATGGGGATCATATAATGTCGGGACAATACAACATGCTAACCAAATTTAAATATAATTAATGCAATGCCATGGAATGCAATGCATGCCGATGTCATTTCCCATTTCCAACATTCGAAACCATCACTTTCAAACTGTTAATGTAACCCCCTTTGGTACCCCCTCAGCGCCGAGAGAAGGATTGGCTACTGTCCCTAGACCATTGGTGACTCCGCAGCGTTATCGTGGGCCCAGACAACTCAACTACGCTAGGGCAATCTCCCTAGTTCCCTCCAGGTTACATTAACGTACCGGCCTGTTGGTGATTCCGCAGCGACCAGGTTTTCATAAAACCATTTTATAAAAACTCTTTCCCAAAATTCCACTTTTTATTTCAAAGGAAAAATTCTCCCACTTCATGCCCAATGCAAGTGCACGGATGCATCAATACCATGTACATGTCCATTATTCCATAAAGAAATTACAACATGCTTTTATACCATATAAGTTTAGCAAGACGAATGTATACAAATCATCCCATAAACATGCTCTTTACATAACTCATTTACCACACATAGTTGCACAATTAATGTTTACACATAACAACCAACAATTAACTAAAGCTCTAAACAAATTGATCATGCTAAACAACAATTTAAGAGGGATTAATTCACTAAAGCACAAGATTTCATGGATTAAGAACCCCTACCTTAAATGTGATGCAAAACCCTAAATGGGTCACAATTTTCGAA